AAATGACTATAACTTTTGGCACATGATGAGTTAAAAGACCCATACGATATCAAATAAAAGTTCTTGGAATTCTCTTTCCAATGTCGTCGAGTAAATTATGTTTGAGCCCGTATTAGAGAGATATTCCCGTTTAAATTTTGTCATCCCAAAAAAGAAAGTTACCCAAAAATATAAGGGTATTTCGGTCTTTTTCCTACCCAATCAGAGTTAAACATTTAAGTAAGGTTTTAGGAGTCTAAATTGATTAGAATAAGTTTTAGTTATTCGTAAAATATGCTTAAGGGTTTTTAGAGGAGTTCAAGAAGAGGAAAAGAGGAGAAAAAAAGAGCATTCAAGATTTTTACGATTCTTCGAGGGATTTCGCCAAGGGTTTTATCCTAAGAGGTAGTAATCTTCCATAGTGTTGGATTTATTCTCCCACACGCCAATCATGAGTTTGTTTCACGAATTCCATCCATGAGATTGAGTATATTGATAATCTTGTTGAGTTCTTGAAGTTTTGTGGTTCATTTTTTATAATGAAGTTCTTGTTGAGTTCTTGAGGTAAGAGTAGTGAATAGTGTTGTTTTTGGTGTGTATATTCACTGTAATTTGGTTGGATTTAAGGATCCAAAAGAGTTTGGAGGAAATCATTCGAGTTTAGACGAGGTAGTTTGGTTAAATTAAAGAAAAATTTGTCGTATTCGTTTGTAACATGGTTGGGACGGCGCACCCCTGTTGCGCCTGCGGTGCGCCCCAGACCAGCCTCAGTCAACTGAGGGTTAGCGCGGTGCGACGTTACTATGCCAAGGACGTCGGGTCCTTTTGTCTTTGTTCTTTGTTCCATATTCGATCTTTCAGAACATATCTTTCCTCTCTTAGTGATTTTTACTTTCCAAACTATACCCAATTATCAATAAATCCTGTATATCAAGTTATGATCCTTGAATTCATAATTTCAATTCAAGGAATAACCAAAAGTAGAGTTCAAGAAAGTCCGATGTAAATTGTGAATCCTTCGAGATCAACTATGAATTTGAATAAAGTTTGAGAAAGTCCGTTTGAGTCTTTTCGAGGAATCTTCTACAATAACTTTTAAATTGTTTCAAGACTCGAGTAAGTGAATATGAGAACGAGGCAATTGTATTCATGAGTCTACATTATCATTAAGATCTTTGAGCCAAGTCGTTCATGTCCATAATTTCGTAGAAACTTCATAATTTGATTATCTTTGAGAGGAGTAGTATCTTCAAGTTCTAAGTCTTGAGTATTAGGTTCCTAAACATTTTGAGATTCTATTCATAATCATGGGACTACTTCAAGTTAACCATGAAGGTCTTTGAGTTGAATAGTTCATGCCCATAATTTCGAAGAAACCCTATGAGTCTTGAGATGAGAAGTATCATTGAGTTATTGAGCCGAGTAATTCATGCCCATAATTCCGCACGAACCTTTTGAGTCAAAAATTCTTGAGATGAGAAATACCATTGAGTTCTTTATTCGAGTAGTTCATACTCATAATTTCGCAGGAACTCTCTGAGTTGAGCATTCTTGAAATAAGTAGTATTATTGACTCCTTGAGTTGAGAAGTTCTTGAGTTCCAAGTATTGAATTCTATGCATAGTTATTGAAAATATTGAATTAAGTCGTTCACATTCATAATTCGGCATGAACCCTATTTTAAGAAGTCTTTTTATAAATAAATTTAAAACGTGTTTTAAGGACTTGAACACTGAGTTGAGGAAGAGTAGAGATGAGTTCATATTCTTTAAAAAGATGTATGTGAGATAATAATTCGCAAGAATAAATATTTTTACATTTAAGATGAGAGAAAACTGAGAGTTTCAAAAGATTTTTGAGTAGTTTGAATACCATTTCTTTTAAGAGAAAGATTTTGACTAATAATCTCAAAACACAGAAAGAGTTATGTTTTTCTTAAAACATATGAACTAGTATATTTTGAAATTAGTATTGAGCACTGATATGGGGTAAAGTTCATGCAACTCATATCCCACATAAACCATGTAGCCAACATGGGTAGACAATGTCATACTTTTTAGATGATTTCTTATTACTTTTTAGCATAGACTAGTGGATCCACTTAGTAGTAGGTTCTATATCCTGACAAAGTATAGGATAGTTTTGGCAGCATGGGCTAGACATTGTATCATTATATAACTCATAGTGATAATTACCAGTAAGAGAATCCCACAGAGTTATATTTGTTTTTATATACAAACTGAGTTATTATTGTATTCTTCAATACAATGAGTTTCTATCTATTATTTTTAAAGCTTTACATATATTGCATCTTTTATTGTTGCTTTATTCAAAGTTGAGTATCCAGAATTGAGTATCTTATTGTTGAGTTGAGCCTTATTTCTCTGAGCTGAGTAAACTATGTTTCACTAAGTTGATTATCATGTTATTGAGTTGAGCCCTATTTTCTTCGAGTTGAGTTAAACTATGTTTCTTTGAGTTGAATTTAGTGATTTGAGAAAAGGTAAGTATGTTTCTTTTCCATCAGTTCAAGCTTATGTTTATGCTTTGGAATTTCTCTTACATGCTTGTATATTTCATGTACTGATGTCATTTTAACTGAATCGTCTTATGATGCAGATACAAGTATATTGGGTCTTCAAGAGAAGTTTCTTTGGTACCGCTTGTAATTCGAGTTAGCTATGGTGAGACTTCTTACTTTTGGAGGATTCCTTTACTTTTTAGTTGACAAGATGTCGTGGGTCTTGTCCCAACTTCCATCCTTGTCATTTAGAAGCTTCATAGATTAACAATATATAGAAATTGAGAAGTATGTTCATTTATTTTGTTAAATTTTTTAAAGACTTGAATTGCCTATTTTAGCTAGTTGAATATTTTATTATATTCAGAGTTAATCATTTGAGTTAAAACTTTGTCTGAGTTCTATAAAATTTTATCCAGTTAAAAGATTTCTATGCTTGAGTTAGTGTTCCACTCGGAGCCAGCATGGGGGTTCGCTTGGGGACCAGAAATTGTTCTCGAGTGTATGCCACGTCCAGGGTGTACGTAGGCTCGGGTCGTGATATAATATCTCAATGTCTGATCAACTTGCCAACTCAACGTAATCAATGATATACGATGTCGCATTTTCTTTCTCAACAAGATAATATTTCTCCACTTTCTCATTTTGTCATGAACCATGATATGTTGCATAAGGATGAATGCTTCACAACACGTATATCACAAGAACATAATCGGCTCATCAAGAATTTCAAATAGAATCAAGTTTTCTAACTCAACAAGTCATGAAACATGTTTCAAAGGATAGCGCTAGTGGAGGAAACCTTTAAAACGAACCTTTTACCTCTTAGAAAACATTTTTGTTCATTTTTAAGACGGTCCAAAAATAAACTCAAACCTTTACTCGAGCTTCTTTCATCAAATATAAATATAAGTAACACGGACCCTCTCTTAGATAATATCACAAAATGTTCATATCAATTACAGACATCACATAAGCCCTCAATACAAGCTAAGCAACACAAATAGACATCATAAGGAATAAAATATGAAGATCAAAACTTACCTACCTCTAAAACACATATTGCAACTCATTACATAGTTGAATTCCTTAGAACAAGTTAATTAATCATCTCAGTCTAGAAGAGGAATAACAGGGCCGAAAATTTCCAAACAACTCTACCGGAGTAAATTCTCTTTCACGCTCTAACCGAAATAATCCTCAACTATCAAGAATGAGAAAAGTTCAACAAAAGGAGTCCAACGATACATATTGATAGGATTTGAATACCGGGGGTAAAATAGTCCATAAATCACTTTGGAAATCGGAAGGGTAAAAACAAATGATTTTTAGTTGAAAATCAAGTTTTATAGATCACAGGAGTTCGTGGTTGAAAAATCCATTTAAAACAATCAAGAATCGAGATTAAAATCAAGAAATTACTCATTTTTCAATTTGGAACAAAGCCACAAAACTCGTATTTGAATCTTGATTTTAAGTGTTTTGGAAGATAAAATTCGAATAAAATGATATAAAATTGATAAAGAAACTTATCTATACAAGTTTTTCTCGAGAAATTCCTTCCAAAGTCTCCCTCCCAAGCTCCCAATATGAAAAGAATGAAGAAGAAAGTAAAGAAATGGGGGCTGATTTTAGCCATTAATTGACTGTTTTCCGTACGTTCACCGCGTTCAACATCAGCAAAATCAATTCCATAACTTCTAAAGTCTCTAAACGGATCCTTATGATTTATTCAGGATCCGATAAAAAATAAAGCATACATGTCACTTCACTAAGTTCGAGTCAATGGAATCGTCCTAAAATGATCATTTTCACAAAATTACCCCCTCAGACCTTTTTTTTAGGCTTAAAACTCAACTTCTCACCTAAGCACCCAACTTTCAACCTAAGGCATAGACACCTTAGCGACCATTCTACTAGCTCGAACTCGACGTTCAAGACGCGATGTAATGACAAACTCGCATTAGATATCCAGAACTCAAAATATTGGTCGAGGTCAATTCTATCAAGAATTCTCAACTTAAGAGGGGTCAAATCACCAAAAACTTACTCGATAATATAGGGGACCGCACTAATCATTCTTGAAATACAAGCTAAGCATGAAAATACTACGAAAAATGATAAAATGGTCATTTCACAATTAAAGCCAAAATCACAAGAAATAAAACATTACATTTGTCTACAAGCTACAAGCATTCATGAACTCAAGTATTTCATCTGTTTATGTCGTACATAACTTCTACTGCTCTCCACATATCATAATTCTACTAGCCCATGTGTATTAGTTATATTTACTCACGGAATGACCTTGATAAGTGTTGTGTATAAGTAGACATTATTCTTATAACCACTGATTTTTAAGGTGTCTTATCAAGGTCAAAAAATGAAATTGAATAATGAACTCGTAATAAACATATATATCTGATATAAATATAATAAAATTTAAACAATATCGTATTGTAATTAAAATGATATTACATAAATTAAAACAAAGTAATCATTTTGCCCTTCCCCCTTTGTTTCTCCTAATGTACTTGTTTGGAAGAAAAATCACCTATCTACAACACCACATAGACTGACCTTATTGTATATCCAACATAATACATTGAGATAACATAACATAAATATCTTAATGAATGTGTAGGTCAATTATTCAAATGAGGGGTGTAATTTTAACACCTTTGATAACAAGACCTGTTTTCCATTCCTTGCCTTCATCTAGATAGAACTGAATTTCCCCATGGGAATTAAATTGTGGATTGAAGAATTCCCCAGCTAAAATTTCAAATGATTTCTGAGAGCCTTTTTCTGCTAAATTAACTTTATTTTGTATAGCTTCATTCCATGTCTTTTCTGGTGGTATTAATACACTTCTAACTGGATTTTTACTCCATCCAGTAACATGTTTCCCTTTTTTCAATCGTAACACAAATTCAACTTTATATTTCGTGTCTGGTGAAAGAAATTCCGTGTTAAAGCTCCCATGAACTGAAAGTGTCTTCACTTTTCCCATCACTGCCATTTCCGCGCTCATGTCTCTGTAAGATCTGTTTTTACCCTACTGTAAGTCCATCTGAAACAACTAATCTCTACGTACCTTCACAAGTTAAGATATTCTACCTCGAACCCCACTTATATGATTTCATTCAAATGTTGTTTACATGTAAATTTGAACTAATGATTTAAGTGTAAAATTGATCAATAATGTAATGAAACAAGACAAGCCTGATGGTCACTTCAATAAAAAAAGACATTTAGTAATAACAAATTTTTATTTAACAATAATATTTATTGTCACAAAAATATTTGATGATAATTGAATTAATATTATTATATTCAGAATTGATGAAATCTTTAGTAATATATTAATATAAAAGGCTTGTTATAAAGTTTCATATATATCCTAATGAATAAAGGAAAATTAAAGTACAATTTTTAAAAAAGATTATAAAGCTGTAAAAAGAGAACATATACTCCACGCACTACATCATTCTTTAATTTTAGATATACATAAAGTTTTATATGTTTCTCATTTCGAAGCCTTTAATATTTTAATGAAAAGTTCTTTTCCTTTTTCAAAATTAAAAGTTGAATATGGAAGTGATAATAATTATTTTTATAGTAGGAACCAAGGATTTGCAATTGAAAAGTAATTTTAAAAAAATAGGAATAGTGATCAAGGGCTTACTCTTTTGATATCTGCCATGTCCACTTACGATGATCCATTTGATCCAAAATTGTGAGATTTTTTGCAAATACCATGAAACAATTTTTTCCCGTCTCTTTATCCACCCAATACTGCATTTATCCAAACTATATTAATTCTTCACCTCATATCAACCAATTAAACACAACAAATTAATAGAAATTAGGCAATTATGTGATTAAACTTTTAGAAAACACTCATTTATGTCATAATTAAAAGTTTGGCTCATTTATGTCATTATTGTTAAAGAAAAAGTTCATTCATATCATTAATTTTTAACAATGGTTTTGCAAAACCATTTTTGACACGTGACCAATTATAACTCGATCACGTCATCAATTTGTTTAATTTAAAAATCATAATTCTGAAAAAAAAATTGAATTAATATTTTTTATTCTTTTTATTAAATAAATTGATCATGTGGCCAATTATAATTCGGCCAAGTCATCAATTTTTTTAATTAAAAATCAAAATTCTGAAGAACAATTAAATTATTTTTAATTTTTTTTATTAAAAATAATTGATGGCGTGGCAGAATTATAATTGGCCACGTTTCAAAAATGGTTTGGCAAAATCATCGTTAAAAAATAATGGCATAAATAAGTTTTTTCTTTAATTATAATGACATAAAGGAACCTTTTCTGAAAGCTCAATGACATATTTGAGCCTTTTCCCTTTATTTATTTCCAACTTTGTCAACACAAAATTAAACATTGAAGAATTAATAGGAGATATACATGTCAATTTAAGAAAATCTTATCATGTCAATTAACACTTAAAGAAAATCTTATCATGTCAATTAACACTTAAAGAAAATCCTATCATGACAATTAAATGAAAACCGGAGAACTATAAGTAGGGGTGTGCACTATATGGATTAAATCGAAAAATTAAATTTAATTCTAATTTGGATTGGTTCTTTGAATTCTTGATTTGGTTTTGAATTTATAATTTACCTTATTTGGTTTCGGATTTAGAATAAAAAAAACAAAAAGTTGGAGTTGATCACTTTTGTCCCTTTTTAGTTATTTTCATTATGATTTAGTTTAATTCTGTATGTTTGCACTTATATAATTGATATACTTTTAAGTATTGTGTTTTATATTTTACTTGTGATTATATATATATAATTTTTTAAATTGTAAATAAATTTAAATAATTTTGTTATGTTTCTAATTATTGACATAACCTATTAATCTAATCGAAAATCCAAACCAAAAAGAGAAAAACCAAACCAAATCAAATTTGGTTTGAATTGGATTACGCTTCTTCAAAACTCAAAACCAAAAATTCAAACCGAATAGTATAAAACCAATCGAAAAATTGAATGCACACCCCTGACTATAAGGGTTTATCTTATCAAATTACCATATTAATTATGCTTCACAATCAAAATTTCCTAACTACTTCCGTTCCATATGATATATATGTTATTCTTAGCTTTAAAATATAATCTAAAAAATAGATAAATCTTTACCTAATCAAAAAGGTATAATTTCTATGTTTACACATGAATAGGTACTATTTCATCAAGATTGATTAAGTAAACTACTCTTACACCGAGTAATTTTTCTAGATAGTCACTCATGTTTAAAAAATTAGCAAGGAATGTATCGCTCATGTTTGTTTTAAAACTACAAAATCACCCAACTTTGTCTACTTCCTCAAAATATACTTGACACAAAAAATGCATTATTTCTCTCCTACTAAGATGACGTGTCACTTTTTTAAATTTGTTAATAATATTTTTTTAATTTTTTAAATGACAGCTTGTTTAATGTATCTATAAGAGAGCATTAATTCATTCTCTATGAAAATCTAGTTACTTCTATTTTATTGCAAAAGTTTTTATCCTATATTTCATTTACGAGTGTTTTACCCTTATATCCGTACAAAAGTAGTCTACTTGTCGAAGAAACATTAAAGTAGTTCCTTGAAACTAATGAAGAAGACAATAAATTTAGTTGGATATTGAGAGATAAATTAGATATTAGAAACATTAATTTTTATACAAATTATAAATATTGTTCACGGTAAAAATCAAAAGTTTCTTGTTCATGGTAAAAAAAAATTTTTTTACACAAACTATAGACATTTGTTTAGATCTTAGGCAGATTCAAACAATAGAAATATCCGATTAAAAAACAAACAAGAAAAATACTCATAAATTTTAAGAAAATTATTCCAATATCATGTTAAGTATTCAAATATTTCACAATTTACACTTCAAAAATAGAAGAATCTATTAAAAAAAAAAAACATAAATTTTACCTTGTGGTGATTTCTTTGGTCAACATCTAAGGTATACAACGTCTCAGGAGACACTAGTTCCTTAGACAAATTCGCTAATTTATTCCTTGAAAGAAGCATAAAAAGCCACATATTTTCTTGAAGATTTGAAGGAGCTTATATTACAGTTTCTTAGGTATTACTTTTTACTAGAAATAATATATGGGTTGTTTAATTTTTTTTTAAAAATGTTAATAATAATAATAATAAGAAGAAGAAATAATGTGACATGGTATCCTTGTGAAGAGAAATAATATATTTTTTCCATCAATTATATTTTGAGAAAAATAGACAAAGTTAGATAATATTATAGTTCTAAAACAAACATAAGTGATATTTCTAGATAATTTTTCAATCATGAATGGTCATCTAGGAAATTTTCTCTTCTTGCACCCTAAAAATACCTTGAATAAAAAAGGCTAATATATTTTTATATAATTATTTAATGATAAAGGATAATTTGTGTTGTAAAAGTACCTTGGTTTTGCCATCTGAAAAGACTATTCCTTTATGGAGCATGTCATAAAGTTTGTCTTTGCAGTAAGTATTGACATCCATAGATGCATGATCTTTTAGTATTTCTGAGCACTTGTGTGGAAGATCATTTAGATCATATGTATAACTAATTTGCACATTTGTATTGTTATCAACGTTTGCACTTTTAGTACAAATATAATTATTGCAACAAAGACTCTGACCCATATTTCTCATAAATACTTTATAATAATTATGAAATTGGGCTTTAAAGAAGCTAGAAAGCGTTTTTATTCTCTATGAAATTGGGCATATTTTTTCATTACTATTATATGAGTCATGTTTCATGTTGTTGATGCCCTTTTCTTGAAGTCTCTAGTGGACATATTATTCTTGTGTTTTTTTATTGGACTTTAGACCTATGTAATAAGAGTAACAAATTATTGTTGTTATTATATTCTTATTTAGAAATGATATCAATTGTACCCAAGGCAATGAAACTTGTATATCGATAGAGATGGAATGAATAAGGGTAAAAAATGATATTTAACTATTGCTAATAAAGATATGTGTCTTAGGGATATTCACAAAAAATTTTAATTACCGCTTAAAGATGGAACTCTTCACCTTTTGGGGTCAACTTTAATGGTATTTTAGTTTATTTTTTGTGCTTGGAATTTCTTATGTTACTGATTTTCTCTCTCTCTTATGTACAAGGTCTTTAGTTATAGCGTAATGCTTACCTGAGTTACGATTTAGGTTGTGTTTGGTATGAAGGAAAATATTTTTCTGAAAAATAAGTAGATATTTGATTTATTTTCTCATGTTTGGTTGGTGAGTAGAAAATATTTTTATGAGAAAAATTTTAATGTTTGGTTTTTGAATGAAAAATGTTTTTGAGAAATATCTTTTATTTTCACTAGAGTAGAAAATAATTATTGAAATTGAATTTTTTTAAAAAAATAAACTTAAAATTATTTTCGTGGGGGGGAGGGGTTCGAGGGTAGGGATAAAAAATTAAAATTTGAAGGTGAATTGTTTTCTCTTATGTAAAGGTCTTCAGTTATAGCGTAATGCTTACCTGAGTTATGATTTAGGGTGTGTTTGGTATGAAGGAGAATGTTTTCCTGGAAAACAAATAGATATTTGTCTTATTTTCTCATGTTTGATTGGTGAGTAGAAAATATTTCAAAAAATTATTTTAGTGTTTCGTTTTTGAATAAAAAATATTTTTGAGAAATATCTTTTATTTTTACTAAAGTAGAAAATCATTTTTGAAAATGAATTTTTTTTTTAAAAAAACCAAACTTAAAATTTTTTTGTGGTGGTTGTGGAATGGGGGAGGGGGGGAGATGCTGAAAAAAATGAAACTTCAAATTGAAAATATTTTTAAAAGAATAAATTTAAACTTTTGTAAGGGTAGGGGGGGTGGATTGTTGGCTGGTAGGGTGGGGGAGGGTTGGTAGGCGGGTGAGTTGTGGGCTGGTAGGGTGGATGGGTAGGGGGAGATTGGAAGAAAGTTTTGGAAAATTTTTCCTTAAGTTTTGAAGGAAAGTCATTTTTCTTAAATTTATGAAAAATGAGTTGATTTGAAACATCAATTTTCAAAACATTTGATCCAGCAAAACTGAGAAAATCGGATTCATACCAAACACACTAGTCCCATTTTAATTGTTCATTTTGACAAACTAAGAAATGACAGTTTTTTTATCTATAAGATATCCTTAATTAATTATTTCGAAAAGGATAGAGTTTCTTGTATAAGTAATGGAAGTAAAATAATAAATTAACTATGTCAATCATTATTCTTTTAATAGGCGTATTAATTTCCAAAGTAAACACGTAATTAGGGATAGTGAAAGTACTAATTAAGTTGTTAAATTCTGTCTCTAGCTGTTTTAAGCCAATTAAAAATTCATCATCCAAATCCCTAACAAGAACCTAAGGCAAATGCATTTTCTCAATTTTTTAAAATTACTTTGATTTTAAAGCTTTATGTTCTTCCCATTCAATTTTATGGTGTATTTTCAGTTCAACCTCAGATGAAAAACAGACAATTCCAAGATAATATAGAAAATTCTTTTATAGCTTTTTAATAGGCAAAAGGCATATATTTTCTTCAAAACTTGTATAGAAAAGTCAGCTACACATTTAAAATATCATGATAACCTATTACACACCTTATCTTATTCAAAGTGATATTAATGTCCCTTTTCAAGGTGACATGGCAGAGAAATTGTCTTCACTTTCTTTAAGGTGCGTGAGAAGAAGAAAATGTATGTTAAAATGACAAATTTAAACACGTGACACTATTTTATTGGTCATTATACAATTAAGTATTAAAAGATTCAATATATTAATTATATCAATCTTCTTTCTTTTTTGCTCCTTTTATTGGTGGCTCCAATTTCTTTAAAGTTTTTATACATATATTTTTTTTATTTTTTCTTCTTCAACAATTCATTTTCATTTGTCACCATTGATGATTTCTTCACTTTATCCTTGGACGTATATCCAATACACTATCCTTAAAGAGAAACTCTTCAAGGAACAATTGTTTTTCTCAAGTTGTGACATCAAAAGGATCAAACAAACATCTTATAACAAAAATTTCAAAAGATCTACAGTCATGTGCTCACTTTCATTATTTACCCAAAAGGAAGTAGCAAAATAAAATAAAATCTATGTTAAAATTCGTGATTTTTATACTCGCAGTCATCAAACAAGATCACCGAAAACTATCATGAGAAAAGTAATGACTTCTATTGAAAATCCTTTCACATTTATACATAAATTCATGATTCTATTACTTAAAATTATCAAAAACACATAAAAAATGATTTTTATCTGTCTTCTTTACAGATATGAAATTTACAAATCTAAAGTTCACTGGCAACAATGGTGTTGTCACTCCACCTATCGTTGTTGCCAACATCTCTATACTTCATAATCGTCTTATTGTCTACTTTTCCTTTTCAAATTTCTCGTTTTTCATTCAATATTATAGAAACATAAAAATGTATGGTGTGAGAAGGAAGATTGGTCAGGTTTCTACTTTTTCATATCTCTAAAGTAATATTAAAGAAAAAAATAATTTAAAAAATAAAAATAATATAATTTATGTGTCAAAACGCGTGCATTACACAATTTCATACAGAATTAGAATTGTCTTCGGAAGGGGGTACTAATATCACTTTGAACAAGATTAGGTGTGTAATAGAACGCCGCAATAATTTGAGTGTGTAACTGATTTTTCGATACAAATTTAGTGGGTAATTTCTGTCTTTTTTCCTTTTTAATGTTCACATTCTGTTTAGTTTGAATATTTTCATGATTAGTTGATTTGGTTATGTCAAAATAACATAAAAATTTGAATTTGGAAGCTTACCTTTGTACTCATATATGAAGGAGTACAAATAAGATTAAAACAAAGAAATTGTTTAGATTGGCCTTTTAGGATATATGGTTTAGTTAGATATAACATATATGCATAAGGTACAAGTAGAAAGTGATGGATCTAATCAAGATAATAAGTTTGAGTTCGAATTCTGGGAATTAATGTTAAATCTACTATGACATGTTGGGCCCGTAGAGTGCACAAGCTTCACCCTTTAGTAACTTAACATGTGACAACAAGCAGTGGCGAATTCAGAATTTAAAGGTTATGGGTGCTCACTTTCTTTAGCGTAGAAGAAAAGAAAAAAACATATAGCAGTGAAAAGATTAATAGAAGAGTAAAAATGTTTTTTTTTAAAAGCAACTTTCACATATGACAAGCACGAAAATCATATTTGTATGTTATAGCTATAGTTTGCATAATTGAGCTCCATATCAAAATGTTATGATTATATCTCTATACATAGATACAAAATAAGCTAGGATGTTTCACTAATATATATACAAAGAAGCAATTATATAATTCACTGGCTCCTCTTCATATTTGTATAATTTCACTGGCAAGTCATTTGTATAAATTGTTGTAAGCCCCTTGTTTATATAAATCGTTTGCAGCTCTCAATTCAATTTTATGTATTTGTATTCTCTCGTTTGCACCAAATCGTTTGCATCCTCTCAATTCAATTTTATGTATTTGTATCCTCTCGTTTGCACAAATCGTTTGCAGCCTCTCAATTCTATTTTATGGGTTTGTATATGTGAATATAATTTGAATTTGTGTACAACTGAATTGAAACAAAACATTTGTAAATCAAATATAACACCCTCTCTCGTATGCAAATAAATTATACATTGTATTTTGTATAATCTGTGTTTGTATGAAGCGAGAAAAAGAGAAAGACAAAAGAGATTTGGGCAAGAGAATATTTGTATTGTATAATTATAAGTGTATAGGACGAAGATATATATATATATAATTTATACATTTCTATTTGTATAAAGCGAGAGAGGCAAGAGAGAACTTGTCGAGTGAGAGAGGGAGAGTGGCATGCCAAAATTTCAGGGAGAGAGGCAGTTGACAACAGTTTGTTACATGGCACAATCAAATCAAACTATGGTTATATATATATACAAAAACACAATTTATACATTTCTGTTTGTATAAAGCGAGAGAGGCAAGAGAGAAATTGTCGAGTGAGAGAGGGAGAGTGGCATGCTAAAATTTCAGGGAGAGAGGCAGTTGACAACAGTTTGTTACATGGCACAATCAAATCAAACTATGGTTATATCATTTAATTGAATTAATAGTTTGTCATAATCTACAATTTTTTCCTAAAAAGACCTTCACCGGAACTTGAACCCTCACACTTGAGGTCGTCAGTGTGAGTCTTACCTTGCATCTTTGAACCAAAGCACCCATCAAACCTTTTGGTTAATGGGAGCTCAAGAATTAACCATATCAGCTCTTAAATATTTTCAATGAACATATGCAAATTTTCATCGGGAGTCAATAAATGCTCGAGCACCCAATATCCTCAATGTGGGTCCGTCCCGAAGTCAACATGTTAGTACCTAACTTGTTACATATTTAGGTAAGCCCATATGCAGAGATAGACTTAATTCTACGGTGGGAGGAAACAATTCATATGTCAGGATCAAAAGTTAATGTTGGTGGTCCTCAAGAAAAGAAGAAGAAGAGTGTAAAAGGACCTAGTTGGCCACTCTAATATAGCTAGCCTAGGTGTAATGATTCGATAAATTGGGAAAGTTTTATAAATTTACCATTTTTATCCTTTTGATATCGACCTCAAGTTGTTTCTAATTGAGTTTTGAAAATTGATTTCGATCTTTGAGTAAAATTTGTGATTTTTGTAAGATTTGAATATAGTAGTGTGTATTATCGATTTCAGA